ATATATATATAGTTGTATGATATGTTAATTATATATATATATATAATTAACATAAGTATATACAGTATATAATAGGCTATATTACATATTGTAATATTATATAATGTTGTGCGCTATCTGTCACACCCACTGAAGGCTCGTCAGTAGATCACACGTGCGCTGAAGTGAACTAACTCTGGAACAGAAGCTGCTCCGGAGCAGGTTATCTTCAGAGAGTAAGTTACTATGGTTACTTACATACCCTGAAAGTAACCTCCGATTTTGGACCTGAAAGCTGAGGTTATCCGCTCGCTTATCCTCAAACATACCCGGGTATGTCACATAACCTGCTTTCTGGAATACACCCCTGGTAGCTGCTTCAACGAGGGGGTTAAAAATTTGGTTCTGAAATCTGATTGGATGAGCCCATTTTTTCAGTGTAGGGCACACGACCGCGCGTCAGTGTATTAATGCGCCACTTACCCCCGATCTACACATTTTGCATGTCTCCCTTATTTTACGCACCAGATTCAGATCATCAGCTCGTTAGGACAGAGCCCTGTGAACTGAACTAATTGTGTCAGATAAGAGAGACATTCAAAATGTGCAGAGAGGGGGTCCCCAGGACCAGGATTAATGAACTATAATACTTGGCGGAATAAAGTGTCGATATTAATATTATACATTAGATTGCTTATAATAAAACGGCAATACAGTCTAAAATCTGACTGGGTGATCCAATGTTTGAAGCCTTTCATAAGCGAGAAAGCTGTGTGCTGTTTGCATTACAGTCTGTGGAAAACAGCTGATGACTGTCATTTCTGGATTTCGCAACATTCTTAATACAGCATATCTGTCATAGTTGAGACACTTACAGAAGCTTCTATTCAAACATCTCTGTTGGTCTGAAGTGAAGAGTGTGCATCTGTGTGTGAGGGGTCTGGGTGTGTCACACAGACTCTCTCTCTCACACACACACACACACACACTGGTATTCCTATCATAACGGGGTCATTCCATAGGCTTAATGGTTTTTATATTGTACAAACTATATTTTCTATCCACTTACTCTAAACCTAGGCCTACCCCTCACACAAAACTTTCTACATTTTTAGATTTTCAAAAAACCTAATTCTGTATGATTTATAAGCTTGTTTCATTATGCGGACCACATAAAATCTCCCCACAAGGTCACAATTTACTGGTATTACTTGTGGGGACATTGTAAGGAATACCAGGTACACATGCACACACACACACACACTCACACAACAGCTGGTCAGTACACTTTCACCCCGGGGCCGTAGAGTATCATGTATCCTCCATCACATATGAGAGCAGGACACAAATCAACACATGCGACTGAATGCGAAGCATTAAACATCTGATCTCACTATCTACGACAAGTTTTCATACTCGAGTTAAGACAGCACAGGTTAATAGGGTAACATGTTAAATATCACTGTTCTTCTCCAGCTGATTAAACACGGTACATTAAGACAATTGTTTTGTATAAAAAGTTTTCTGTAATGTTATGTTTAAATATGCAAATGAGCCATTGTTTAATTAAATGTGTAGTAATTTGCATACATTTCTAGCATATAAAGCTGAACAATGGAAAAAGCCAGATTCATCATTCTTGTTTGAATTTGTTGACATATTAAAGGTTTTTCCGGAGGGCATTTTGGATTTCTCTTTTTAAATAAGTAAATACTGCCAACAGAGAGAAAAACAAATTCAAAGTTTCACCATGTTTTGATGATGTTTCATGAATTATATATGAACAACCCCTCAGTAAAAGTCTTCAGACTATATATAGGAAATTGAAATGTACAGATGCAAATAGATAAAATAGATAAGCTATAAAATAAACACTTAAATGTGCATTTTTGACGTTTTCTTTCCACTAGTCTGAAAGAAAACATGTTATGGAGGAAAATAGACCAAAATCTCAAAACTGACCAGTGCATAAAAAAACAAGTTTCGTCTGTTGTGTCTCGCTTTCAAGAGTCTCAACTGGTCAGTTCCTCTGGCATTTAAGCATGCACACAGACAGACAGACACACACACACACACACAAACTGCACCTGTCTGTATGCGACAGACACAGCAGCTGCAACAATCCTGACAGTCACAATCACTTTTACAACACTGCCTTTGTCTTTGCCAAAGTGCTGACCACTTATTTTACACACACACCAAACTTTCCCACACACACATTAGCTCTTGACATACACACACGCGCGCGCAGGCTGCAGCACGACTCCTCTGAGGGTTTAAACCCAGCAGATGCAGACATGGATCAACATGCTCTAGCTGTTGAGCAAATGGGATTAAACTCTGAAAAAAGCCCACTTCATGAATGCAAACACTTCTAGCTATGCAAATACAACTTCTCATGCTCCAGCATGTCAGAACGAAGAATGCAACACAAGTACAGCAGACTTCACTGCAATCACATTTACAGTCTGTCAAGGTGGTGAAACAGTTTGCAGACAATCTTGTTAATCAATTTTGATATGCACAACTTTAGCCCTCATAACATATTTGGGTCCATTTTGACCTGGAAGAGAAACATAAAAATGTCTAAACAATGCATAGGTTTTAGTAAGGGATCGAAACTTTGGAAATGCTTCAAGACCTTAGATTTTTTTTATTTACATAATTTTTTTAAGAGATATAACTATTTAAAAAAATCTTAAACATTTTGTGTGGTGTTCATAAGTTATATTAGTGTCAAAAAAACATTTAGCCTTTTCTTCAAATTTCACACAATTTTGTTGATAAACATGAATATGTATGCCAATTGACAAACCACTACAGCATGAAAAACAGATCCCTTTTTTCATCTGACAGTGAAAGTTTATGCAAGTAAAATTTATTTATTTCGTTTGAAAACCTTTCAGAGTAATATTTAAGTTGTTTTATTAGAAATAAATATGTATGCTTCATAAATTTAGTTTTTGAATTCAACATTTAATTTAAATTTATTCAAATGGGGTTAATACTGGTAATTCAAAGAATTAATTAATCAAAAAAGGGGTAAATGCAGTAATAAGATGGTAACATTAAAAAAAATTACATTCATTCAGTTAAGAAAAGTTGCTGAACAGATACAATTTGATTTTGGTTGAAGATTTGTTATGACTGTTTTATAAAATGAATCTTGTAAAAAGAGTATACATATTTTGAATTAATTATGATAGTCAGTAACACAGACTCGCATGATCTACTAGCAACCAACTTTGTGATTTCCAGTCATTCATTTGTTGGAAGCAAAAAGAAGGATCACTTAAATCACTGAAATTATTCATGATGTTTTTGTCAGTAATGTGAGACGCTCATTCAAACACAATAAAACAAAAGTAGACTTTCTACATGTTACAAACATTTTTGTTCAACAATATAACACTCAATGCTGGGTGATTACTGCTGAGGGGGTGTGTCAGTGGGCGTGGCTTCTGTTATGAGAGGAGGAGTCACTGTTGGGGATGAGGGAATCTCCACCTGCAAAAGAGAAAATAATCAAATATTAATAATGTGTCGGAATATTAACTGTGCTGTTGTATATACAGATTCATTGATAGAACCTTCAAAAAATATTAATGAAAATGGTTTAATATAAGTTCATCTATTTGTAAATGCATACAACTGGAACAGTTTCGGAGTTTGTAAAAATGATAAAATGTGTTGACTAATGCACGTTTACACTAATGTACTCAAAATGACG